GTAGAACTAAATTAAGTATATGCTAATTTGGAGAAAACTTTTCAGTAGACACTTACATAGTTGTTGTATCTATTTTTTTTCTGTAATTCTATTGCTGTAACTATTTTTTTTTGTATTTAGTTGTTGAATTTGTTGTTTTTGTTATTTTCTGTTAATACTTACGGTATTTTTACATTGCATTACATCCTTATATTACATATTGGTATTACATATATGTAGGTATATATGTTAAGTTGAATTTGTTGGATGTTACTATGAGCTAAAAAAAATTTAGGAATATTTTTGTCATTTGGAAAAAGTAGTTTGGATTGTCCTGAAATTTTGCGGAGAGATAGAGAATATTGTTTACTTTGATAGGGTCTAGGCTATTTCTAACTTCGTTAAGTTTTACAAATTTTATTTCTCAATTTTCAGGCTTATGATGATCTCTTGAAAGCATTTTCAGAACGTAATAAGGTATGGAACGTAATAATGTATAACTTGCTAGCTATAACTAGTAAAAGAAAAGAACCATAGAAAACTTCAGTAACTATTTTTCTTATGCTTACTTGTGCTCTATTATTTCCCATTTTCCTTTTGTCTCTTCAGTTTGGGAATCTACCTTATGGCTTCAGAGCCAACATGGCTTGTTCCTTCTGTTATAGTGCAGTCACCTGCAGTTTTCCCCTCCCTTCCCGTGGAGGTTGAAAGTTAGGGGAGGAAATGGAGGTGGCCTAGGAATGGATGGGGAGTTTGATTTGATTCCTTTTGCTAATGAGTTTTCATTTATTGCATCTATGCCTAGCAAGAGAGTAGAAGAAATACAAATTCGTGATAGAAGAGCATTCCTTCTCCACACCTTATTTGTTGATGTTGCCATTTTCAAAGCTATTAGGGCTATTAAACATGTTATGGGAGAGTCAGGTTTCGGCTGCTCAATTGCAAAAAATGACATTCTTTACACTGAAAGAGTAGGTGACTTGAGTATCAAAGTCATGAAAGATGCTTTTGTTGCTAGTTGTAAGGTCGATTCTAAAATTGATGGAGTTGAAGCTACTGGAATAAATCAAAAGGATCTAATAGAGCAAAATTTATCGAAAGGAATTACCGCTGATGAGAGTATTACAACCTATGTATGATAAATTTTATGCATAAAAAGACTGGTTAAAGTTGTGCTTTAGAGCTGTTTCTTTGCTCTCATATAGCTGATGAACACTCCACATTCAGAATGCAGGATATTACCACTTTTGGTGTTGTTAATGTAAGATATTGCGGTTATGGTGTTGATGTGAAAGTTACGGGTGGAGAAAATGAAAATGTCAACTCTTCATCTTATTAAAGTATTGAATTGTTTGATCAGCCAGATGGTGGTGCCAATCTATGATGTACTGATACGATACGCGTATCTGATACGACACGTATCCGATACGACGATACGATTATTTTAAAATATATATGATACAATACTTGTAAGATACGTGTCATCATATGTATCGATGTTCATATAATATAATAATTGTGTACTTGTAATTTTGATCAAAAGTCATAAATATTAAATATATAATTGCTATTTTGCAAATCCAAATTTAAAACATACTTATTGTACATTACTAAAAATAAATCAATTATAAATCATTTCATCATAAATTACTTTTTGTTATTTACAAATAGAAATAATATTACCAATTTCATTCCTTTCTTAAAATTATCTTTATAGAAGATAATTTTCATTTGTAGTTCATCAAGGACCAATATTTCTATGTTTCTATATAAAACATGTTTATATATCTTATTTAGCTGTAATGAATATTTCATAATTTTTCAAAAATTTGAATACTTTATCGACACGTATCACCAATAAGTATCGGCGATGTATCTAAGAGTATCGGAATTAAATAAAATTTTTATAATATTTTTAAAGGATAGGATACTTCATTGATACGTATCGGTCAGTTAACCAAGAGTATCGTATCGGATACATATCAGATACGAATACGTGAAGTAAATTGAAGTATCCACCATAGGCTGGCTGAAGCCTTAATGTAAGTCCAGCCTGGAGAGGTTGTGCTTAGAATATACTGCCAAACAACGAGGGGACCGTCAAGTATCTCAAGTCAAAACTAAGGATCACTGACGAGTATCCTCCATAGGCCGGCTAAAGCCTTAAATATCAGTCCAACCTAGAGAGGCTGAGCTCAGAATATACTCCCTCTTCAACGAGTAACAAATAAAATCACGTTATCACAAAATAAGTAGAAAGAGCACGGTGTCTCTACATCAAGCCGAATGCCTAGGTGGTACAATTTATCATCCTTGTCACCCAACAGAGCACGCTAATCAACACTTACTCCAAAGGATGGGGATACAGGTAAACCTTTCTACTTGAAGAAGCACCCATTGTCAAAGCAAAAGAGAAGACTCAAATTTTTACCTTACTATCATGAGAAAAAAAACTAGAAGAAACGACATAGAGCATCTACATGAAGATAAAAGATCAGGTGGTACAGTTTTCCATCCTTGTTACCCAATGGAGTACGTAACCCAACACTCAGCTACTCTAAAAGAGTGGGGATATAGGCAAACCCATCTATCCAAAGGGAATAACGTGGAAGCAACTACACAAAGAGACAAAGAGAAGACCCTTACAAAATGTCTATGTCTTACTTGCCTTTGGAAAAGCAACACATAGCTATCCAAAAGGGCAAGTAAAGAAGGGCATCTGTAGACACATAATTTTGTTTGGGGGCACATAAACGAAGAAATTGACTTTTAGCATGAAGAGTGAGTGCCTGAAAGCTTGAAAACAACACCAAAACAGGCCAAAGGCTCAAAAGCACAAAGCCCAGAATTAGTAACCCTAGGTTAGAATGTAGCATTCTGACCCAGTTTGTTGTGAGTTAATTCTGATCTCAAAATGGCCCGTTCTAGATTCAAAAATTGCCTTTAATAAACTCATCCAGAACGGGACATTCCGATCATCAAAATGGGCCATTCTAATGTGAATTAAAGTTATAAATAGGGACTCCGCGAACAATGTTAGGGAGAGGTTTTTTGGCTTATTGAGGTCAAAAATTAAATCTCAGAAAGTCCTTCTAGAGTCTAAACACTTCTTTTCTTCTCTCTTTGCATTTCTTGAGATTTTTGAGGTGTATTATAGTGTGAAAGGAGGCCAAAAAGCGTCTCAAGTATTCCATATTTGAATAATAGTTTATAAAAGCTTGCTTAAGAGGTATTCCCACCAATCTTCTTTATTTTCTACCTCTTATATTGTACATATTGTTGTAACCAAAAGCAAAAAGCATGTAGATATTTTAGGGTAAACCATGTAAATTTAAATTCAAGCATGTAAGTAATCATCAATAAAAGGAACTTAATATTTAAACCATTATTCTCTATCATGCTAGTTTCATTATAGGGTTCTGATTTAGGGCGTTATAGGGTGCTTATCACCTTCCCTATATGTAAACAACCCCCGAATCCAATTCTGGTTGTAAAGGCCATTTTTGTTATTTTTAAGAAATCTTTTCCTTTTTTCGATGTTTTGGGTAAAAAATCGATGGAGACTCCTTCGAACTCATTTTCAAAATCATTAGTTAGGGATTAGTATGGTTTCTGGGTATTCTCTAATTAATAAGATTTTCAATTGGAAGTCTAAACCATCTGGGAGTAAGATCAAACATTTTTGACTTCCATTAGTTATCTAGGGAAGACGCACCCAATGTGGAAGCTGGTGAACCTTCTCAACCTGAAGCTGAACCATAAGCTGAAACTAAAAAGCCTAAACCTCTCTCAACATTTGAACTTGCAATGTTAGCCAAATTGCATGACATGAGGGAAGCACAAAGGTGAGACTATCAATAGCTCGAGCAATGCTTTGAGTCTATTTCTGAGCACCTAGATGCAATGAACATCCCTTATCCAGATGAATAGCTCATTGAAACTCTCACTAGGCACTGCATTACGTTTTTGTTTAAGAATTGAACAATCTGAATTATGGTTTATAATTTGTTTTTAATTTGGTCTTATGTTGAACGATTTACATTTAAGTTTTTAATGGCTAATGTTTGTTATATCTTTTATATAGATGTTTGTTTTGTGTTATATATATCACTTATTTCTCCAGCTTTACTTTGTTTTTTTTGTTTAGTTAAGCCAAATAGGGGGAGAAAAATGATGTTATATACTTTGTGTTTATGATGATATATTATATACCTTGTGTATGTGGTTATATATATATATTCTATTTTGTGATGAGAAAATTGATGATATAAACATGGAGAAAGTTGATGATATTTGATCTTTATGTTTATTGGGTTAAATTGGATTACACAAGTTTTAAAATTTTGAAATGGGAATCTACATAATGTTCTGTATTGGAAGTATTTGTTAGCTTTGCAGGTTCAAGAAACACACAAACTTTAATATCATGATGCAACTAGTGTTTAGCTCATCAAAACCAAAAAAATGGATATTGTTGAGTTTATTGAAGATTGTTGAGTTAATTATTGAGTCAATTACTAAAGCCGCTCATGAAGATCTTTATGAAGATTGGAGAAGTTTTAGTTTTAATGATGTTAGCATTAGATTTGTATAGATTTATTTAGTTTGCTTCATTCATTTTTGTATTTGATGGCCTATGTTGAAAAGGATTACAAAAAAAATGTTAAATAATAGAGGTTATTTTGTGGAGGTTTTAAAAACCTCCAGAAGTTATTAAATTAGGTGAAAATACTGCAATTTTTTTATTTAATTTACGGAGGTTTATAACCTCTTCTAACTAAATAATATTTTCCCGCTTAAATCCCATTTTTCTCTAAAATAAAATATTTTTCCGCTTCAACTACCGCGCGCCTCCCTTTTATCAAAAAATCACATTCGACATTTGAGTGACATCCGCTTCAAAGGGAAAGACAGCTGCTCTATGAACAACCTTAGTTGCTGGTCCTGTTCTTGCTGCTAACAAAGGCCAACAAAGGCCTTCTACCGCAGCCGAGCCCATTCGCTTCATCATTAACAAGGACGAGCGTGTTGCCGCGATTATCGACATCGCTCTCAAGTTCTATGCGCGCAAGGGAAGGCTTCCCCTCCTCTGAAACCATTCCTCCGCTCTCAGATCGTACTTTTCCCAAACACCTCTCCCACTTTATTTATTTATTTTTTATTTTTTGCTTTATTATCATTTCTGAAACTACTTCTATGTCGTTCTTGCAGCTTAGAGTAAATCTCTTAGGGAAGGTTCTCTTTCATCCGTCTTTCCTAGGTATGCATCTCCATGTACTAAAAGTAAGGGTGGTTACCATATAATTGATACTTTGATAATTCCCTGACTTGTATTTCTGTCTCACTTTCCCTGATTGCGCATATGTCTTTATTGTTGGAAGCCATTCTTCAAGAAAGATAATTGAAAGGGTTTGCAACTCAAATTCCATATTTGGGATACCTCAAATTAATGGAACTCATTTTGTTTAAGAAATTTAATGTATTACCCTAGAACATACAGAGTGCGTAAACTGATAAAGGCAAAATAAAGGAAGAATAAAGGAAGCTGCCCACAAATTTAACGTTGCTAATTTGCACCCAATATTGAAATGGAATAGACTTGTTTTAGTGTACTTACTGTTCTGTTACCCAATTAAAATAATACCATTTTCCCGTTTCAAATTTGAAGAGTTTTTTCATTGGTGTGGAAGGAAGGGGGAAAGTTGCTGGTACACATCATTTGTTCTCTCTTGTACTTTGACTTACCATTTAACATCATTTGTTCTCTCTTGTAATTTGACTTACCATTTTGTGTAGCTAGCGATACTGACAAGTGGACTATTTGATGTACTGTCAGCATTGCTTAAGCAACAAGGTCTGGGTGTCAAAGGAATGACAAAAAGTACCCCTGTAAATGAGGAAATTCCACCTTTGCTAGAAGGAGGTGGGAAGATAGAGGTGGGATTATTTGTAATTTACTATATAAACTTTCCTACTTTCCTTAATTTGATCAAATTTACAGCTATGAACATGTAATATTCTTTAATAATTTTAGGTGTGGAGAATTAATGAAAATGCCAAAATTGCGTTGCCAAAGGAGGAAATTGGTAAGTTTTTTAGTGGAGATTGTTATATTGTATTGTACACATACCACTCTGGTGAGAGGAAAGAAGACTACTTCTTGTGTTGTTGGTTTGGCAAAGACAGCAACGAGGTAATTTACGTCCTTCTAATTTTAGATCTAGGTATCTTGTGAACATTGTAATTTCTATTTGACATTCACTTTTCAGTGCCAACTCTGTTGGGACTGAGCTAGAGTTTCCAATTATAGGCAAACATTGTTTTTTAATGACATACTGTTGGTTCAAATTTTTGGTTGTGATTGACATTCTGGATATATGATAAATCTTCATGGAGATAGAACTTCAAACTATCTTAGCTTTATTTATTGGTGGCACTCTTAATTTTTAGATACATGATGAGGTCAAACTATACTCTATTATTTAGCATTTCTAGAATAGTATGAGAGTACCTGCCATATTATCAAGCAATCTAAACCTGTACAATTGATTTCATAATATATATTCTTTACATAATTTATTTTATCTAATTTCCTTATTGGATATTTTTTGGAATCTGAAACCTTAGACAAATAACCATTAACTTTGTTCAACGAGTGGGTAATGGAATAACTTATTAATCAGCCACGTGAGTGGTTAGTAATTACTAAACTGAAAATACTTTTTACAAAGGATTCCTTTTCAGCAATTCCCCCCTGCAATATTAGTAGTAGGATTTCACCTGAAAATATAACTTATCAAAAACCATTATGCACAATTCCACAAATTATTGCATCAGTAACTAGTATTTATATCATAATTATTCATTCATCAGTACTTTTAATTCAAACTGCTTCGACACTTTGTAGAATTGAACAAGTTTGTTTTTGAATACTTTTTACCTTGGGTTAAATTTCCTTTTCAAGAGGACCAGGCAATAGCTACTCGGTTGACCAATACAATGTCTACCTCATTAAAGGGTAAACCTCTACAGGTATCATAATACAATGTCAAGTTGAGGATGTTGCTTGGAAAATGTGTATTATTTACAGTAGTTTCTTGCAGGGTCGCATATTTGAAGGCAAAGAGCCACCACAGTTTGTTGCTCTTTTCCAACAAATGGTGGTCCTTAAGGTATGATGAGAAAAACTACATGTTGTTTAAAATAATATATTGCATAAGTTAGCAAAGGAAACTATTTCAACTAATATACTTGTTTTAGGGGGGATTGAGCTCTAGATACAAGAAACTAATAGAGGACAAAGGTGTATCAGATGAGACATACACAGCGGAATCTATTGCACTTATTCGAATTTCTGGAACTTCTATTCATAACAATAAATCAGTACAAGTTGATGCAGTATGTCTCCATGAATGTATTCATTTTTTTTCCAAAAGAAGTATGTTGGTAGTGCTTATATTTTTTTCTGCTCCTTCATAAGTATGTTATTCTTATTCAGGTGCCATCATCATTGAATTCTACCGAGTGTTTTGTCCTGCAATCTGGCTCTACAATTTTCACTTGGCATGGAAATCAGTGTTCCTTTGAGCAGCAACAGCTTGCAGCAAAGGTTGCTGAATTTTTAAGGGTAAGATATATTGTCCCATGTTGTGGAAAAACTGAAAAAACTCTTCAAATTTGAAGAGTTTTTTTCCTCTTGCTCTTGGTTGCGCTGCATGCATCTTATTCCGTTTGGGTTTCTTATTTCAACATTTCATTTTTCAATTCTAATTTCACTGCATCTGTGTTTTCACGTCATCATTGGTTTTCGATGGAGGTCATTTTTTTTTATTTATACCGCATTTTTAAATTTTAATTCAACAAAATTTGCGGATTTTGATTCATCGATTTTTTGCACCTTTTTGTTTTAGCTTTAACCGTATGTCTGCCTCTGCGTTTTTTAACAAAAGATGGCCACCATGAATTATTTACCTATCTACGTAAATCCACTTTTAGTTATAATTTTGTAACATGTAACTAATTTTTTGAAAATCTTTATTATAAACTTGATTCTTTTATTTTTAAAATTAAGTAATTTCAATCAATTCTGTTAAATAATATAAATAACTAAGACTTTGTTGATATATATATATATATATATTACCTATTAATTTGTTGCGTGCTATGCTATGACAGTTATCTGATCTTGCAACTTAAGCCATAATATAGTCATGGGTGTTTGAAATTTTCATTATCATATAATATTTGTGATATCTATTTTTCTTGACTGAGTGTTTTTTCTTTTCTTATTTCAGCCAAATGATGCTTCAAGTATTTCTAATACACCTTTGGATGCAAGAGGATCATCTGGTGCTAGCAACCCTTAGTTTGCATATATTGTATTTTGGATTTAAAGTTTAGTATGAGGCTAATTTAACAATGTTATGAATTTTATGTTGTACTTGGATTTATAATAGAAGTTTGAATTATAAATCTTTGAACTATATGTTGTGTTTTTGGTTATTAGTAATGGAATTTCTTCATCCATTTTATGTGTATTTTTTTTCATTAAGTTTCTTATAAATATCAAAAGTGAAAATGAGAAATTATAATACATGTAGATTATGCAATTAAAATGGGTATAAAAATTATTATACACTGGAAAATAGGGAGGATTAGAAACTCCATAAAAATATATTGATTAATGATTGTAATAGATAATTTACTTTAAAAACTCCACTAAATAATATTATTGTTATTCCACTTCAAAGCCTCTAGTGAAAAAACCTCTGCAATTAGCATAGTTTTAAAACCTCCTTTAAAAAACCTCTGCAGTTAGCATAGCTTTAAAACCTCCTTTAAAAAACCTCCACTATTAGTGTAGGTTTAAAACCTCCTTTAAAAAACCTCCACTATTAGTGTAGGTTTAAAACCTCCTTTAAAAAAATTGCCGCTAAACACTAACAATACCAGAGGTTTATAAAAAAACGCCGCTAATTGCTAGCGGCGAATGTAACTGCGGAGGTTTTTAGAAACCTCCGCGATTTATTTTGTGGAGGGTAAAACCCTCCACTAAACGTAAAAATAACCTCCACTGTTTAGCTCATTTGTTGTAGTGTTGCTTGTTATTAGACTTAGGCTTGGATGTATTTGCTTATTGTAATTTTAAAATTACATCTTGTTTTAGAAAGCATAAAACCCATATTTCAACTTAATGTTTCTCATTTCATGTGAAAATATAATGTAAGAGATTACAAAGTGTTTTGACATAAAATGGAACTTGATTCATTCAAAAGAATTCATGATTAAGTTAGGTAATAGATTACCATTTGAGGTAATAGATTACTAAAACTAGTTTTGAAGTGGAATTCAACATCCTCTCTATATAATCTATTACCTATTCATGTAGTTTATTACCATGGTGACTTTTGACTGAAAATAAGTGAAACAAGTTGGAAAATCATCGAGATAATCAATTACCAATATTAGTAATCGATTACCTTTGCTGAAAAATGAGTTCTATGGTTTTTGGAACACGAGATAATTGATTACCAGGTTCAATAATCGATTACCTCTATTCTTGTTTCTCATATTTCAGTTTTCATTAAAAACTGGTAATAGATTACCTGGTATTGGTAATAAATTACTGCTGTTACGAGTTTTTAATGTTGAAAATTTATTTGCTCTATAAATAGAACTCTATTCAAAAACTTAAAAAAGGAGGATGACATATTTGATTAGAAATATCAAAGAGTGAAATATAAAAACATTTTTCAGAATCTGAAAATCATTTTTGAGAGAAGATTAAATATTTTTCAGAACAATCAATGAGCAAAGAAAATTAAAAAAAAAAATATTATCTTGAAAGAAGTTCAAGAAATTCAAGATTGTTGAAGAATTCATTGTGGAAAATCAATCTACACATCAAGTGTATCAATTCTGATCTTTAACATTTTGTTTTGTATAACTTGGTATGCTATGGTATGTGACTCTTTGAGATAAGGGTATCTCAAAAAAGAGTGAAAGAGAAATCTTGAGATAGGTTTTCTCAAGTGGAATCTTGAGGTGCAAGAATTCTGGTGATTGTATAATCTTGTGGTATCAAGATTAGGTGATTGTGTTTTCTGATTATAATAGTTTGTACATAGTGTTTGTAAATAATATTATAGTAGAAAGACTGGATTTAACGAGGAGCTAAATCTGAAACTGGATCTAGGCCTTTGTATAGCTGAACTAGTATAGATCATTTTGCAATTTCTCTTTTTACCTTCATATCTTGTTATAATTCATATTGAATTGATAAAAAGAATTTCAAGAAAGTAAAAGAAACATTTTCTTGAATATTATATATTGCTAATTTGTGAAATCTGATATGATATATGCAATCTGGTAATAAAGTGAAAGAAGTTATTTACTAAAATCAATTTGGATTACAACTTTTATTTCTCCATGTAATAAATCTGATATACTTTGTATCTTGTTTGGTTTGTAATTTGAATGTGATTAGTAAAACATTGTATAAGAAATAAAGAAATTAGCAAGAGAGCAAGAAAGACCATTAGTAGTCATCTAAGTGAAGAATCTATTCAACCCTTCTTTCTAGATTCTTGTTCTACCTGGGACCAACAAAATATACAGCCATTCTATATTTTGACAAGTTAGTGGAAGTTATATGACACTCCTGATGTGCAGATAGTAGACATTTAAAAAATGAGTCATGTTTGTGCTTGACAAATATTGGAATCTAATACGCCAAACTTCAAAAACCACCTGAATCATTCAAATTTTGCTTTATTGCAATGTTCAACCCCATAACATGTCCTCTATCCATGATTTCAAAGAAAATGAACATTATCCATGATTTTAAGCATTGTAAAGAAAAGAATTTGTTATCAATTAAACAAATTGAGAAGTTTCCACAAGCCTGAAGAATACCATGAAAATGATAAAAGGTTGTATCAACAGTCATCAACAACAAACATCAAATAATTCTCAATAATATACATATTACAAATAAAATTATTGTCACAAAACCATTGAGTTATTTTCCCCTTCCTTTGTAACCATTTAGTTTGACACTTTGACCTTTTAATTAAATACATTTTTTAAAAAGTGTTAACCTAGCTAACTTCTTTAGTAACTAGGTTGGCGTCGGCCTAGTATAGGCTAGGCCACTTGTCCCTTGTAAGTTATCTTGCATATTTTCATCACTACCCCAATGAGGTCTACTAAAAGACCCTTAGAGCATCTACAGCACAGGTTGGTATTTCGTATCTTAAAACTAAGCACCTATTCCTATTAAGCAACTCATGCTGGAGCTTGTTGAGTTGGCAAGTGAAGTTTCTTAAATGAAGCATCGTCTCTTGTTTAAGACACAATCACTTAGGAATAAAAAATCATTTAATTGCTCAACATCATACTTTAAGATGAAAAAATATTGAATATGAACTTTCATCTAGCCACCAAAGAGAGAAAGTGTGAGTTTTTTAAAGATCGCTTATTAAGATAAACCATTGGAGTAAAATGTGCAGAAATTACTTATGGAGTTGCTTAGATACTATGTGGCTGGTGGAACCCACTAAAAATAAGATAGGATATCAAGATAGAGAGCTTATTAGATACCCCATTGGAGATGCTCTTATACATAGATAACAACTATTAAAGTCAACGGCTAAGTACAATTTCATTATATACCTCAAGTGGCCTTTACTAGAAATTGATGTATCCAGCTTTTGAGTACCATTCCATGTAGGTTCTGGTTGTTCAAAAGCCTTGGACTCAAAATACTCAAGCCAAGCAGTAGTGTCCTGTGACATTTATCACAAAACCTTATATCATGCAAAAATTGTTAATAATTATTTATAAGACCAGTATAATGAACTCAAAAACTTAATCATTAGTTTAATGGGTATAATGGTGATCACATTATTTTTTCACATCTTTTAAGATTTCACCAAGTTCTAAAGTTGTTTTGCATTATTTTTGTTATTTCCACACCTTATGAATTACTAGGTATTTATAGCACTCAAACCTACTTAAATGTGACAAAATACTTGTGTCCGCAAGTCATCTAGGCCAAGTTTTGCCCACAAAATTTGCAAAGTTGTTTGCTCATGCTACACACTCAAGGATATGTCTCCATCAAAAGGGTTATTGCTATTTCATGATAACTTGTAGCCATCTGCAGTGATTCAAATTCCAAAAGATATAAAGCTTTTGAAATCAATAAAAAAAATCCTTTTCCTTCTTTTCTCTTGTCCAATTATAATAACGTATATTGTTGATGGTTGTCAAAATTGAACAAGTCCAAAAAAAATAATTAAAAAAATTAATAATAAAAAATGAAAATGACTCGCTAGGTTGAAAACACGTAAAAGGCGGCCTAGGCAAAAGTTAGGATTTTCTAAAAAAGAAAAAGAAAAGAGCCCCCAAGATGGTTCATCACATTGATTGACCAATATAAGTAATGTTGTGTATCAATTAGTCAAAGCGATCTACTGGTGGGAAGGAGAAAATGATGGAAGAGCCTCATCCATCAGAAAAGGAAAGCCGCCTTCTGAAAATTTAAATCAAAACATGCATCGTAGGCATCTAAAAGAATTTCACACACTTAGAGAACTTTCTTTATCCAAGGGGCATTTCTCAAAATATGCGAACAAAAAAACAAGCATCATGTATAAAAAAAAAATTCAACATTTTTGTGTGTTAATGGAGCAAAAGCCAAAAAGGGAGACATAAGTCCCAACTGACATCATCTGAACAAGAGTAAAATAGCCCAAACTAGGGGCATTAGGAATGTCAAGCACAGACATCACTCAAAAAAGACAAAAGAAAGAGGCAATATATTGGAGAGGTCAAAGCCTATACCATTCTTTTTCTTTGGTCTGGAATGGTGGCCTTGAGCACAGTTTTTTTGGTAGAGGCCCACATAATTCCCAAAGGGAATTGTGGCCATGTAGCAGGCAACACAACAAAGCAGAGTAAGGCCTTTAAGGCTCCTCTATAGAGGCTGAAACGGTCTTTTTTGTGAAGCAAAAGTTTTCGGTGTGAGTTTCATTGCATTCAGGGGCAACTCATGTAGCATTTTTTTTGTGATGAACCCCTAGCCCCACAAACACGCTACCCAGCCCTATCCCTCGGTGTGTAGTCCTCAACCGAGGACCACTTCCTCACTCTCCCTCGGACCGCTCACTCGCTTCAAGCAAGCTCGCTTCTTGGTCCGTGTGGGACAACTTACACTCTACTACCCCGACAGTCCGTTTATGGCTACCCGCCGGAGCATTTCAAGAAAGCCGCTCATTGATACATCTTTATTGCTTCGCTGCATTCGGGCTTAACACCCTAATGCTTTTTTTTGTTTACATCTTGGAATCTTTATGCGGTAAAAATCCTTGTGAAGGGATAGGATCTCTTGAAAACGATCACCCGATTGCACCTTTACCTATGCGAGAGCTCTTTTTAAGTAAGTAAAAAGTGAGTTGTTTCATTAATAGGTTTAGAAAAAATTATGGATAGCAGAGTTATCTCTCAACCTCGTAGGTTTCAATTGCATGATCTTCAA